CTTTTCTGCCTCTGCACGGCCGAGAAGGGAGTTCCCAGGCCTGTAGGTATGGTGCTGGTTCTTCCTCCCCAGGTGCATCACCTTGCACTTGTCAGTGTTGAAACCCATCCTGTTCTCATCCACCCACCCCTGTAACCTGTCTAGGTTTGATTGCAGCCTATTTCTCCCTTCTAGCGTGCCCACTTCCCCCCATATCTTAGTGTCGTCTGCGAATGTGAACAGGGTGCTTTTTACTCCTTCATCCAAGTGACTGATGAAGATGTTGAACAGTGCGGGCCTGAGGACTGAGCCCTGGGGGACCCCACCGCCCACATCCCTCCAGGTCGAATAGGACCCATCCACCACCCTGCTCCACCCCACCATGCCCCCTGGATGAGCCACCCATGGCTCTGCCTTGCTTCCAGTAGGGTTGCTTTCAGTGCCCTGGCGGGGCAGCACTTGCCCCTGCCCCTCTCCCTCCCTCACCGTGGAGGCCTTGATCTGTCCCCCCCCACACTTCTTCTCCCCCAACCCCTGACTTACCAGCAGGGAGCTGCTCTTCAAGCTGTCAGGCTGCATATTGGCCCTGTACCAGCCGATATGGCTGGTTAATAATCGGCTGTTGGTATCAGCCAAAAATATCTTTATCGGTGTACCCCCACTGGGTAGACGTCTAGGGAGATGGAACAACACATGTATCTGACTTGAGTCCAAATGGAAATATTTGCTTTCTACCGTAGTCTCTTTGGAAATGCAGTTTAGTGGGGAGTGTTTACCTAGTCTGCAATGTGCAATACATCAGAGGGTCCAAACACTTCAGCAGCACTGCAGAAAGAACTCCAGTGTAGGAGCCCAGTTGAATGATCATCTTCTGCCATTTCTTTAACATTCCCGTTTTTGCCTTCTGGCTGTGAATACCAGCCAGTGCTCCTGAGACTACATGTGATCTTACAGTTTGCCCATAGGCAGCCAGAGAGTTCACTGACTGAATTTTTTTGTTGTTATACCCTATCTTTCCAGTTGGCCTCTACCTGTCAGTTACAGGAAAACATGTATTATTCATCTTTACTGTAAAATTAAGAAGCTATGTGGCTGCCTGATTTAGTGCTTTCTGTTCAGGTGGACCTAGTTTATACAAGATACAGTGCTTAATTTTAACAGCAATATAGCTTTTCTACACATACCAAGTATTTAGTGTGGTGTTTGTCAGGTCACAAACTGCAAGTCTATGTTCTTTATTTCTTCCAGATAGTTATTTTCACTAGGTTTTAGATAAGTGAGTCAATTGCATGGTACAGACATTAGTAAAGTAATTATCTAACTCGAATGATTCCTATTTTTCCACAGTTATTTTCCTTTGTAGCCTTCATTTGTGAAGAAATTGTGGAGAGCTGCACCTCATGCAACGGCCTTTACTTCTTTGAATTTGTAAGCTGCAGTGCCTTGCTTCTGAGTCTCCTCCTACTGGTTGTGTATTGCACTACTTTGTATGAAAAATTTGGGGATGGCAATATCAGAAAAACAGTAAGGATGATATTTATTTTTCTTTAAATTTAAATTTTCTGTCATAATCCACCTTTATATATGAGTTTAGAGGATTGATATTATTTGATAACAAGCTATATACAATGATTTGCTTGTTCTTCTATGTGCCTCTTTAAAACATCATGTTACATAGGACCATAATCGACTTTGAGGATCTCCTTTACATAAACAAATTTTTAAATGTTTTTATGTTAGCAATTATGAGTTCACGGTGCTTCATTTTTGGGCCCCAGAGCTAGGAAGACCACTTGGCTCTTCAAGGAAACAGGCTGTTCTTTTTAGTCTCTCTTCAGTTGGGGTTGCCCTTTTCTATGCCCCTCAACTTGGTGGGTAACAGAGAAAGTGAAGAAAGGGGTTGGTGACTGCCTGAAAAGTCCTGTGCCAGTGCGTGTTGTTCTGAGGAGTAAGGTGTGGTAAACATTATTATTTTCTAGGACATCCAGATAAGATTTCCTTGGATGAATAACAGACCGGGGGTTAACAGGTTTAGTTAAGGGTCACTAAGCATATTTCTTTAAACAGGTTTTCTGAGTGTACATGCGCATCTCCTTTGGTATCATTAGGTTTAAAAAGAGACTGTTATGAACAACTAGTCTGACTTGCTACATAACACAAACCCTTTAAAAGAAAGAATTTCACCCTTTCGCTTCTGGGTCTGCAGGAGATTGCTGTCTGTTTTAACCTCAGTTGTGTAAAGTGAGTTAGGATTTCTTTGGTATGAAAAACACAATTAAAAAAATCCAGCCCTATTCCAAGATGGGCTCATCAGAGCTTTCTTGTCTCTAATAAATGAGAAGGAAGAGAATTAGTAGAACTTGTGTACAAGACTTGCAGAGTCCCTCCTTCTGTGCATGTGCATACACTCCCCCTTGCTGTTACTGTCTCTCTCTCCCATATTGCAAACAAAAATGGTCAAATGGGTAGCCATAGGTCTGGGTTAACAACAGGTGAGACCAGGAAATATATTTGTTTCTTTGCTAAATTCTAATGGGAATAGTTTTTTTTCAAAAAAGCCAAATATTCTTTACTAACCCAAACATAGCTTTATTGAAAATTCAAGAGCAAAACTGATTTAACTGATTTATATATTTCGTGCTAAGAGAGATTAAGAGATTAGTATGTAAATATTCTCATTTTTAATAATTCTAAAATTCTTCGTGTTAGTGGTATGGATAGACCTTTGTTTAACAAGACTTGCAAGCAAACAGTGTCCTCCTTTAATTAAATGTGAACAAACGTGCCACGCAGACCTAAAGAAGGGTACTTTGTGCCCCAAAACTTGTCTAAAATCTCTCCCAACTAGTCCAGTAAAAGATAGCATTAAGAACCTTGCTTCCACATATTCCTGGATCATCACAACTACAATACTGCAGCCTGACTGCCCAAACACATCTTCCCTTATGGGGATTTCTTTCATTCTCAACTTAAATAGCAAATTGAAACCTCACCTGAGATTTCCCCGACTTACCCCCACTTCTCATATTTTATCTTGTAAAAGATCCTCTCTTGCCTTTTACACTGTCTGCATTTCATTCTTATGAGTTGGAGCTAGTGAGATGATTTGCGATGAGACTGATGTTACTTTTGGGATGAGTCAGTAGCATAGATCTGCACATCTGTGCAAAGGGCTTTAGGACTTAATGTTCTGTCATACAAATTATCAGTGCTCCTAAATTATAATATCTTTGGGGACAGTATGTTGCCAGCACATACTGGTGCGTTTATCTTGCAAAATATTTCATTTAATTATTTAGAATGTGTCTGTTTCTTCAATTTAATTTATACAATTGTTTCTTGCCCTTTATCCACCTCCTTTCAGACTCCAGTTATTTTCCTTACATTTCAGAAGATACGATACTGACAGTTAGTGTCAGTGAGCATAGTTAAAGAGACCATGATACAGTATTGTGTATATAAGCATCCTTCCTACTGGAGAATTGTTGCATCTCATAGCAAACAATTATACACTCTTTGACTGAAGGGATAAAGATAGGAGAGTGTCTGTAGTGAAAGAATGAATTTGCTTTCTTTTCTCCATATCTTTTAAATATTGAATGAAATTAGGAAAGCTGAACAGACTCTTCTGAATACAGAATACTCTGAGAAAAGTTATATTGACTCCAGGCATTATGGGGACGGACTAGAAAGAATAATGCAATGCAGACGCCTTTCCCAACTGTTGGAGTTGAACACTATCTTGTATGCTATTTGAAAGACAAATTTTCCTAGGCTTGTAAGAGTGTTTGGGCTCACATTTGATTTCAGTCTCAGATTACCTTGGGCACTCCTAATATCACTTCTTTTAATGTGTATTTTATTTGTAATAATAATCTTTCCTATTTGCAGGATTTAGTGACCACAGCAATAGTGAGCTGTTTCTTTATCTTAGCTTCAATTGTGTTTGCTGCAACCAATGACAAGTCATCTGTTGAAACTCTTGCAATAGTAAGTATTTTTACCCTGTATTTCTATTTCATACCTTGTTTACTGTTAAACCTTCTGTCATTTTTGAAACCATTAGTATCAAAGAACGTTAACCATGAACTAACAAAAACTGGTAAATGTTAAGAACTTCTGCCCCAAACTCAGTGTGACTTATTGCATTTGTGGGAAGAACATAAATGTGCACAGGAATATACTTTAATATAGATTTGTGAAAGCATAGGATGACTTGAATACTTCCATAAGATTTTTTCTGGAGTGAGCAGAAAAGGAATTTTTGTTCTTAAATCTTGTGATTTTTTTTTTGTTGGTGGCAATCAGCTCTATAAAATGTGACTCTTTTAAAGTGTCACATAAATGCACACTCTGTTGCAGTCAATTCTTGTGATTAGGAATGGCAAGCCAATAAATCAGAGAAATGATTCTGGCAGGTTCATGCAAATCAAGAAATCAAGGTGCAGTTTTCTTACTTGCATACCCTGTAAAGATTTCTGCAGATCTACTCCAATGTCATCATTTTCTCCTTCATGATTTTGACTTAATACTGATTGGCTTCTGCCCAAGCCACACCTTATTCAGCACTTCTGTAAAAAAAAAGTATTAATTTCTGCCTCAGTGTATTAAGAAACTTTTTAAATATGACATATTCAGTCCTATCATAATATGAATATGAATTGCACCAACTGCAATTCAAGCATTAAGAAATGCTTCTACACAGGATATGCTAGAAGTAAACATTGTGACCAGTCTCTGATAAGAATTCAATTGTGAGCATAAAGAGACTGGAAGCTTAATGTACCCTGATCATTAGTGTGCAGAAAAAGTATACAAAAGATGCATAATTTTTTTCCTGTGGAAAAGGATTTGTTCCCTTGCATCAGGTTCTCAGCCAATGTTGCAACAACATTTAATATGTATGCATAGATGTTAAACAACTAAGTTGTTCTTTCACTTTCACAGGTGTTTGGATTTCTGGCAAGTCTAGCATTTTTGGGTGATCTTATCTATATGTTTATGGAAGGACGTAAAGAAGCCAATGAAAAGAAAGAGAATCCAAACCAACAGGGACCACCAGAGAATCAACCACTGAAAAATGAAGGCAAAGCTTAAAAAGTCTGTTTCTTTCTATTAGTTAAATCCAGATGAAATACTGTATTACATTGACAGTTTTCTGTTTTTCCCTTCTAACCAACTTTGTTCATACTGCATACCAAAAACTTGTATAGACTCCTACATTTCTTAACAACAGTATCTCAGGTATCATGATTTATACAATTTACCAGATAACTTGTACTGACTAATAATTGTTGAAGATGTGCACTTCAAAAGGAAGAAGCTGTCTCCATCCAGAATACTTTTATTTAAACAAAACAGTTAATCAGTGTTCTCATTTACTTATAAGACCTTAAGAGCAAAGAATTATATACACCAATAGAGTGTGCTTGAATTTCAAGATCTCTGTTTAAAAGTGAAGTACAGCAGGCCAAGGTTAGAATTCTGCTTAATTTTCACTAATCTGTGTTGGTGACATTCAACTTTGTTTTAGATGCTTTCTATAAATTAGTATAGTGTAGTTGTTTCTTGTTTTGTGTGCATATGGCAGGGGTCAGTTAAATTATACCTATAAAAGGGACGTTTCTTGAATCTTACAGAAGTTTCTAGCTCCTGAAAGGGTTTGATTCTTATTTTAGTTCTAGATTCTCTCTCTGAAAGTCAGTATAAGGCACCCAGTGAAAGATACAGTTGGCCAATTGTTTTTTGGCAATAGACACATTGTGGATCCTGCAGCCATTTTTGCATTCCACAGTTCTGAAAGTTTGAAGTCATACCTAATGCACTTAAAATAGCTAAAAGCCATAAAAACTTCAAGAGAAACTTGAAATAGTAGCTTTATGAAGCAAGTTTAAGGGACAAATATTTTCATATTAGATGAAAGAGAATTGAGAGGAGGCAGAATTGCCTATAAACAGAAAAAGGGATAAAAAGCTTGCCTGAAAGCTCGTTTAATATCTCTCCCAACTACACAGTTCGTCCGATAAAAGATATTACCAAAACAAAACAAAAAAATTATCACCTTTTCTTACTAGGCAGCACAAGAAGTATTTTTAGGCTTTTTTTTATTAAGCTTCACCAGGGAGAACATTGAACATAGATGCTCTCCAGTGCCTATCACATGTATTAACCAACTTGTGCAATTTGCTTCTGCATAATTAAGATGAATTTGGCCAGGAACAGCCTACATTTATTTTCATCATTGCTTGTATACATGGCAATAGTTTGAGATTCTTGTGCTACAGTCCAGCTCTGTTGAATGGATAAATAACCAAGCAAAACAGCTGTGTAAAATTCTAATCTTAAAGCAACAACCCATAGTTGCATGAGAGCTATAAGACTAGGCAGTGCTGGAGTCCTGATCAGTAGAGCTATATTTGAGAGCTACGAGGTAGAAAGGCATTCCTCAGAGATCTGGTGGTGGAAGAGGAAAATAGGACAACTATGTATGCAGGGTAAGTGGTAGTAGAAAAGGAGAGTAGCAGGTAGCACAAAATATTAGAACAAACGAAAAAGGCTGATAATGCAAAGTAGTTGTCTGTTTTCATGACGTACATTATGTCTTCCATGGCTTGAGACATTAACTTCCCCACAGCGCTTCACCATTTTCTATGATGAAACAATTGCCTTTAAACTTTTAGAGCAGCACCGAGACTGAGGGTGTCAGGCACTCTCACCCTGTTTTCAGAACAAGATGTGGAGGCTGCAGTAATGCCTTTGAGGCCTTGAAAATGAGATCAGAGGCTTTTCCAAGGCTCTTGTCTCCTGATGGATCTGTGTTTGTTTTCTTATTATGTGTCTACTCTCAAAGATTCACCCTTAACACTACACTTTACTGAAGGAAGGTAGAAGAGGTATTGGGTCGTTTGCATGAATGATGGGGCTCTGTAGCATGCCATCAGCAATGCATGTGTATTCTCTTTCTATTTCTTTGGAAAAAGGGCTGTTCTGTCAGACAAACGGTTGTATTTTCTGCACATCTGCACTAACGCCTACTGTCAACCTGCACGTGGAGAATGGTTATTACTGCTGTTGGGAATTGGTACTGTGGATGTTCAGAAAGCAAAGTAAAGAGCATCTTTCCAAACAGTATTTCCGAAGATGTAATACATTGTCATTGGCAATATTATATGTAATTCCATAACTTGAAACTGGTATCTGTCACTACAGCAAACGTCATCCCCTATTTTTGACTTAGTATCGTTAATGTTTCTGTATGTTGTTTTTACTAGATTCTTGTTCCTCATATCAAAAGTGCCTATGGATTTGTTTTTTAAAGTTGTAGTTAAATGTAAAAATAACACTGTAATGCTATTGTATTAGAAAGGCTGAGGGTTACCATTGTATAAAAGCCAGCCTGTTTGTTCTGCCTCTTTAGAACTCAGCTCTCAGGCAACACAGAATCAATATACTTCCAGTATGCTGTACAAGTGGCGGTATTGCTGGTGGTAGACATCTATTAATTTGTAGGATGATACAGACTTAAATAGCAATGTTCTTGAGAGGCCTTCTACAAAAGGAAGAATTCTGAGTCCTACATCATAGGTTTGAGTCCTCAGATATATCTATCTAAGTGCTTTGTGCACAAGGTAAATAATGATTATGTTCACTTTACAGCTGAGGGAAATGAAATAAAGAGAAATTTAAGTCATTTTTTTCCCCAAGGTTGTTGCAGGGAGCTGGTGCCAGAACTGAGACGTGAACTCAGCCCTCCTGACTCCCAGTCTCATGGTCTTACTGCTTAAAAAAAAAACCAAAAAACCAAATGCACTTGCTTGCCCACCTCTGTATAGCATTTTGATTTTTTTATTTATATCCCAAATAGCCAATTAATGAACTTTGCTCAGTTGGATTTGGAGTTTAACTGTGTCTACAAAAATCCATGGGGAATATAACTTCAGCTGGGCCAGCATTTTACTTCCCAGGCCAGATCTGGGAGTTCAGATTACCAACCTCCCTGCTTCCATATCCAGGCTAGTATCCTACATGCAAGCCTCAGGCACAGAGGCCTGGGGTTTTGGATGCCTTGTCATGCTTGATTTTTAGCTAAAAGGCCAAGTACTCTTGACACATGTAGTATGAAGTAGCATTCAGGCCATCCATTGTTGTTTTTTTTTCCTCCTTGCAAAATCAGCATTGTTTTTTGCAGCAAGTTTTTCCTCATTTGTTATCCAGTTTCATTTTAGTGCCTCTGTAGTGTGGTTTCCACCCTCAACAGTAGCCATTGGGGTGACCTTCATGTAGAAATGGACGATCAAATCATTTGTCTTGTAAAGCCAGGGAGAAGCTGAAAGTGCCTTTCTCCAGTAGAAAGGAATGAAAAAACATACACTCAACTACATTTTGAAAAAAGAATGGATGACCTTTGGAAAATAAGTTAGTTCTGCCCTCCTAATAAGTTAGTTAGCCATAGGAGATTTCTGTGGAGAGAAGCAAGACCTGCTACATTCCTAAATACCCTGGCTGCCAGACAGTTGGCCATCTTACCATGTCCTGTGGCAACTACTACTCGACCAGCCTGCAGTTCTGTCTAATTGAGTTTATCTATAAGGTGATGACAATATACAATTCCTAACAAAAGTTTGGATAAGCCAGAGTGCCATACCAACTCAGGGAAAAGAATATGATTGGCCTAAATCCTCCAGCCAATCCACCTTTGTACGCTAAGTGGAGCGATTCAATTGCTGTAAAAGCTCATTTGAAGCAGCTGGACGTTCCCCATTGGATGATTCTAGGATCAGATGGTCTTTGGTTTTTTTGTTTTGTTTTTTTTTACACATGGTTTCAAAGTGCATGGGAATGAGTGAGCGAGCTGCTGAAACTGGACTAAAGTGTTGTTGTTTGGAGCAGCACTTAATCATAAAAACTGTGGAAGAGAATCATTTTTATAGGAAGTCCGTACATTGTACCTGTAAGGGAGGGCTGTCTGCTCTGTGGTGTTATGAGCCTGATCTGGTTGAGCACATTGGCTTGAGCACACTGTGAGAAGCTTTGGTTTCTCCTAACTGGCCCATGTAAGGCTGTCTATACTCACCTCTCTGAAGTCCTGGTACCAGACAGCAGCCACTCCTCCGAAGCTGCCACGCTGAGCTCCTGTGGCCTTGTCGCAGCTTTCTGTGGCTCCATTCCACATCCTGGAGGCACAGCTGTACAGTGCATTGAATGAACTGCAGCAGCTGGGCAAAGGTGTGGGAATGTCTACGCAAACTGTTAGTTGAGTGGCAGGAGAAGCCCCTTTCCACTCAGCAGCGGTGAAATAATTCTGCTGGATTGGGGCAGGGTGCCACGGTGCCTTAGCACGTGAATGCAGAGTTCTGCCAGCAAAACACTATATTGTAGACTTAAGTCTGAGACACCAGGCAGAGCCAATGAATCTTCCCACCAGTTTCCACAACGTGTATAACTTGAAGTACTATGAGGATGAGCACACGGGATTGTTGAGGACCAGTTATGAAGGGAGGAAGTGGCATGAAAGGCCTGGGAGCCCCTTGAATAGTATATGACAATGCTGAGTGTGCATCATAAAATCATAGAAAATTAGAGTCAGAAAGGACCTCAGGAGGTCATCTGACCCAGCCACTTGCCCCAAACATGACCATCCCCAGTTTTATATCATCCTAGATAATTTTGAACGCTAGCAAAATTAATGTGTATTATTTTCATGCCTTTAAAAATCATTAGTTATTGAATAAGGAAAATATAATAATTAGATATGTAAATTATATATGGTTCTTTAGCTTTTGCTGCACATGCCTTGAAATGTCAATCAAAGTGTTTCCATATATTTAAGTATTTTCTCTTTCTCTAAGCCTGTGGTCTTTTTAATGCATTTTTTTGTCTTATGAAATTTCTAAAATTTTTGTAATAAATTTAAATAAAGGATTAACAAATAGCCTGCTCACATTGTTTCTCATCTCAGCTGCTAGCATTTTGGTATTAGTAGCCACTTCTGTTAGTGGAAACTGCAGGAAATTGCTTCATGCTAAAGTTCCTGGTTAGGGGCCATTTGTCTGGGCTGGTCTGGGGAGTTGAATTTAGTTTACAGAGCCACAAAGTTGGATACTTCACTGGGAATTTTCTCAAAGCATCTTCTGAAATATGGTTGATACTGCTGTGGGCAAGAGCCTGGGGCTAAAACAGTCCTTTCAAAACATCTGCAGTTTCCTGTAGGTTACCATGGAACATCCCATTCCAATTCCAATGTTGCTTTTCTGAATATTGTATTCTTCCTTGGGGCACTTAGAGAAAAAAATGAGTGACACTTATAATCCTTCCTTTAACAAACCAGACAGTTGTTTTAGAGGAAGTGCATCTACCTTAACTTAGTGAATACAAGTCATTAGACTACTCATTCAAGTAGGAACGGAAGTGGGGACATCTGTAATTAGAAATGCTGTCTGCCAAAAAAATTGCAAGTTGTAAGCTATTATTGTTACCATTGTTCTGTGGGTGGTTTGTTTTATTCCACTAAACCTGTCTGCCCTTTATATGATGATAACTCCCAAATTATGGTGACTTGGCTGCAGATATGCTCTGAGAGCACAGCTTTAGTCTTATTCATTGAAACTGAAATAAGTGGAGGTATTTCTCTGCCTTTGTGAAGTAAGAGAGGAATCATGGCCCTACCAAAGTTGTCAGAGTGTATTATTTGTCAGGGATTGCTATGGAAAAGGCCTTCTGCTAATTTTAAATGTGCTTTAATGAGAGAAAATGGTCAGTCACAAGCATAAGGAGCCAGAGACAAATATTGCAGCTGTGGATTCGTAGGGAACAAACAGTAACTCGTGAGTCAAGGGCAACACCAATGTAATAATTGTAGGATGACCACATGGTATAGTTTCATGGATACAAAGTTTGTATTGCCACTCATAATGGCAAATCCTGCTGTTTTGGTATGAATCTAGAGGAAGTCCTGAACAGCAATGGAGTTACACTAGTATAATAGGGCAGAGTATAGCCCAAAAGCAATTGTTTCACTTCAGTTATACACAGGCAGTACCTGCTTGCTATTGTTGGCTACAAAGGACCAACTCACAGGATCATCATAAAATTCTAGTTTATTGGATGGATGCAAAAGTCAGACCATAAACCTTGGTGCTGATCCCCTCAAACACACACACATTCACACGTGCGCACAGACACACACACACACACACACACACACACACACACACACACACACACACTCACTGTAGCTAGCTATGAACACTAAGTACTGGTGTCAAGATATACCTATCCCCAAGCACTGGAGTCCGCCGTTGATGGCCAGGCGAGGCTTCTTTCAGTGCGATGTTGCTTCAGAAGGGGGTCACCGGCTGGTCCTTGTGGCCAGACAGGCAGGGTGCTGGTCAGGTCAAAGGGCGCCGCTGGGGGTCATTTTTCGCTGCCTTTTATCCCTCTATGACAGACTTTGGTGACTTCCCAATTCTCGGGCTTACCCGATCCAGGAGTCAACCTTGAGGGACGTCCCTCTTGGCAGCTGCTGGATGGCAGCTGTCAGCCCCAGGGGTCCACAGGTATGTGCAGTCTCAGGAGTCTGTTGATGAATGTTGATTGATTCACTGCCATGATGAAGCTCTGGAAGTGGTTGATCAGGGGGTATTTCAGCCCCAAGGGTCTGTTTCCAGCGTTGATTACTTCAAACTGGGGCTTCCATACCTTTAACAGTGAAGTTTCAGGGAGTTCCTGGCTCTGTATTGATTCTTTCTTCTCCTTAGTCTGTGGTATGTAGGTGTTAATTGCCGCTCATTAACATGCTTATCCAGACTAGCTACTGTGTTACACAATCGACCATGATTCATTCAGGGACGCGCTCCATACAGAGATTCCTGCTCTTGCTAACATTGTTACATGGTACAACTTACTTTTAAACTTAAAGTACATTTGTAAAAGCATCTACAAGCTCTATTTTCACTATAAGTACACATTATATAAAAATAGTAATATAAGAAAAGAAAAAGAGACACGAAGGTAGAAAAGAGAGAGCATCCCCAAAAGGGGGCAAATACTGCAAAAGGTGCTTTTGCCATATGGAGGAACTTCACATTTGAGGGAGGGGCAGGCAAAAAGGTTTCTTGCTACACTATGATCTCTGCAGCCTTTTAAGTATAATTTCTATATATGCACATCTTTTATTAAAATTTTGTTTCCAGGGCCAAATCAGTTCCAAATTTCCAACTTCCAAATTTTGACTGAGCACAGCTCAATCATTCAAGTCTGTGCAGAGCTCCCACCAGCAAGCATCAGTCTAGGGCTTCAGATACTCCCAATCCATAGTAGGCATCCTACATGCAAGCCCCAAGCCCATGGGTTTTGGAGTTCAGATTCCCCTTAGCCTCCCTGGTTCCTAGCTAAAATGCCAAAGGGGAGGGGGAAAGCCCAAAAAACAATCTCCCATCACCATCAACTGTGTAGCCATGATCCTTACATTTGGAGGCATTTGTAGATTCTCACAGGCCAGCCTGTCCCCTGTGCAGGGGGTAGGCCTTCACCCTCTAACTACACTTGAGTCATTCAAGGCTGAAAGTATGCCAGGTAAGTATATATACATCTGCACCTTGCAAGTGTCTTTCTTTACTTGGGGAGAACTGCTTCCTTAGAGTAGGGAGCTCAGCCAGAGGCACTGCTCTCTAGTACTGGTCATCAAGAGCCAAGCAGGTCCACTACTTGATTTTCTTTTTTTTTTTCTTTACTGAATTCAAAGGCCAACTTCTCAT